TTCTAAAAAGTAAATACAAAGAAATATGGCTATCGGTAACCTCAATTAAACAAAATCTGTTGTTCAAAACAAATACACAGGCACATAACAAATGTTATATTATTATTTTGACTTACTTGGCTGCCTTGCGTTCCCCAGAATATTTCATGTCTTCAAATTCTTTTTGTAACTTCATTTTCTGGCTTTTCATAGCAAAAATCTGTTTCTCTAAATATTTATTTTGTTCTTCTAAATGTTTACTAGTATTTTGTTGCTCCGTGACACGATGTAGGATATGCTGCAATTAAAAACGTACGCACATTATATTCAGTCTGGGACGAAGATTGAGAGATACACTCAAATAATATTCAATGATATTGAGATTAAGTGAAAGCTTAGGTGTGGGTTAACATACTTCAACATCTGAGATGGATAAGGCATCCATGATTGAATGCATAGAGTCTTCATACTCAGAGATCTTGACCAATGCTTCACAGTTGATTCTGGACTGCAGGCGAAGATCTGCGTTTACAAATAAGATAACAGACAATAAATAAACATACATGAAAAGGCATGAAAATGGAAACAATAGAATTGGTGAATATCCATGAGCAGGAAATAAAAGCACCACTCACCATTTGCAGAATCATCCTCGGTTTGCAATGTTGACCGCAATGGTCGCCTCTCAGTTTTTTCAACCAAGTCTTTTAGTTTCTCGGCCTGCTTCTTTGTTGCATTTAAGCATTTGTCTCGTTGTATTTTGGCTCCAAAGACTTTCAGCTCAAACTTGGTTAGCTTAGACTTTATCATTTCTTTACCAGCAAGAGCATCAGTGTGGATTTCCTTCAGCTCTGCCATTTCCATTTTTTGCTCTACAATGGCGGATTCCAAGGACCTCAAACGGTCAGGAAATGCCAAGCTCTCCTGTGAGATCACATGAAAAATATGTAAATATCATACATGTAACGTATTTATTGATAGTGTTTGTATTGATAATGATAACAATCAGCCTACCTTTTCCAAGGAATTCAGGATCTGTTTATAGTTGACCTGGACTTTCACAGCTGTGTCAATCTTAATTTTGGCTTTGTCTAAGCTGTTCTCCAACTTTCGAATTTCCTGTTGATGTGATAAGAAATGGTAAATAAACATAATAAAAAA